GAAGGAAAAGCTATCAAATATTCCTTCATCACCAACAACCTTCCTCCTACCATCCAACCACAATCCCCAATATCCCCTGACCATAAGAAGTAAATCCCCATATATTACAGCAATATAAAATAACCTTTCCCTCAAAATGCCTGCCCTCTCAAAAATGCTGATGAAGCCTCCCCTCCTTTCAAAGATGACCCAGGTTCGATCACAAGGAAAAACCTGCACCCACCCCCAGAGACGAACCCAATGTCCAGCTTCCCCAACCTCACACGGATAAAATCCTTTCTTTTTCCCTCCTTTTTAACCAAAAAACACGGATTAAGAGGGCAACAAACCTAAACGATAAGCTGGAAGAACGGCAGCATCAGCAGCCCCTTCACACAACCCTTCCTTCTCGCGAACACGGAGTCCAGACTCCTCACCCCACGAGAGCCCACTGCTCCCCCATAACGCAGGGCGTCCCGTGACGCCCCCTCAGCCCCTCCCCAGAAACAGAGCCTCCACCCAAGGCACCTTCAAGCCCCCACTTACCTCCCCCGAGTGACCCACAGCCCTCACTCCGGAGCTGCCGCCGGAGCTTCCGCCAATGACGTCACCACGTAAGGACGTAACTCCCTCCTCCAGACGACTGACAAACGGGCCTGGTCCGGGGTTCTGTGCTCTGATCCGTTCGCCGGCTACTAGGCGGGGCGCCATTTTACTGTCTGGTTTGAGAAGGCGGTTGGCGGCCTGGTTCTTCCGTGGATTTACTGCACGGAAGGTTATGATACCCGTCGGGAGTTACGGTGTTTTTTCCTCTCTCGACCGGGACGAAGAAAGGATTTTATTCAGAAAACGGGGTTCATCCCCAAATCGCCTTTACTCGGAGACCTGGATCTGGCTTAACCAAGGGGGCAATTCCTCGTCTGCCTTTTTCAACGTGATGCCCTGCAGATCTCTTGGGCTCCAGCTCTTGCAGTTCTAGTCCAAAGTATCTACAGGGCAGCAGTTGGAGAAGCCTGGTTTATTATTTATTTCTATTTAATATATTTTTGTATTGCTTTATATACAAAAATATCCAGAGCAGTTTAGAAAATAGGATACACAAGAGCAATAGCTACCCAATATTTAGTACTCACATTTACGTATGAATACAATTTCTATTAAAAAAAAAAAGCAACACATTGCGATTTTTTTCTGTGTGTTTTTTATGATTCAGCAAAAGTTTGAAGTTACACTTCCTTTGAAGAGATTCTATCTTTTGTAGGGTTTTTAAGATAATACTGTTTGCTTTAGTGGTGTGTGTTGTTTTTCTTTTGATTTTTTGTTTTAATAATTTTGTATGCCACCCAGAGTCGTGATGTCTGTATTGGGCAACCATATAAATATTCTAGATAAATATTCTTTGCAGAGTGGTGCATTTTTTACCTGGCCATTAAGGGGTTGAAGCGATTAATCAGTTAAATAGCTAATTTACTAAATGTTGCAACAATGATTTATTTACGACGCCTGTAAATCAGATTCCTTAATCCAAGAATGCACATTTTACTGCTTCCTATAGCTGCATCTCTTAATAAGAATAAATATTCTTAAGATGTTTAAAGAATGACATGGATTGTGTATTGTACATTTGTTACTTTAGAGAGAATGTATGATAATGCAAATAAGCTTGTTCCATATGAATACAACCTTGGCTACTTGCCAAATGCAACAGTAAGAGTATATGATAGAAGAAAAGCATGTGAGAATAAATGAAATGCTTAGGAGTGGAGCAGGGAGTAAGACGGGATGGATGATATCCCCTAGGTTGTTTATTATATTTATAGATCCATGTATAAGAAATGCTTATGGTGATGTTACAGGTGTGTTAGTTGGGGATATAAATGTATATGTACTTTTGTATGCTGATGAAGCCATTCTGTGCATTGAGAACCCAACTGCTTTACCCAAATGTTAAGACTGTATGATGCAATGAAGAATATGGATCTGAAATTAATATATCAAAGACCAGGGTATTGTGAACTACAATTTATACATATTTGGTAGACAAACTAGATGGATTTGTGTACCTTAGTAGAATGATTATTAAAGATGAACAAATTTTGTGGAAAGGAGTGAGTAATACATGGTCTGTTCCAAGGAATAAATATTTGTTGAAATAAGTAAAAATAGCTATGTACAAGAGAGTGCTTCTGCCCACTTTATTATATGGAACAGAGAGTAGGATATGTTGTGCCTTCAAGTTAGTTTTGATGAGTGCCCTTGCAGTTTTCTTGTCAGCATTTTTTTTAAAGTGGTTTGCCAGTTCCTTCTTCCTAGGATTGAGAGAAAGTGACTGGCCCAATGTCACCCAGCTGGCTTTGTGCTTAAGGCAGCACTAGAACTCACAGTCTCCTGGTTTCTAGCTTGCTGCCTTACCACTGCACCATAAGAATAAATTGAATAGTGTGCAGATTGAGTATTTAAGAGGAGTGTGTGTGATGAAACAAGAAGAGATGCAGTCAAGACTGAATGGTGAATGAATGTGGATTAATTACCAAAGTGAGTGACCAGTACAAAAGAAGTATCTTGAGAGGCTTGGTGATATAAAAAGAATTATGAAATAAATATATTAAAGACCAAAGGAGCCAAGTGGAAGGGGGAGACCAAGAAAGTTTTGGTTGGCTAAAGTTGATGAGATTCTGAAAAAGATAAAGGTACAGTAGTTCAAAAAACAGAAGGATGTGTGAAGCAAGGATGGGTTGCAAGGACAGAAAGGTACAGAGAGATACCGTGTTGGTGTGAACTAGTTTTAGATATGTTTCCTTTTCTCTCTTAATTTCTTTAGGATATTATTTCTTATACCTTTTTATGTGTTCTGCATGATATTGCTTACATTGAAAGGGAATTGTTTGATATGTATGGATGTAGGATATGTATGAATAAATAATGAAAATGTCTGACATAGTTTTGGCAACTGAATCATGTGCTTTTGTGCAGTTATGTGTATGTATTTGTCTCCCAGACACCATGCTAGTAATTCAGACTTTATTTCTTTATTTTTACAACCCAAAGCAAACCCCATCCTGGCTGGGGTTTATGGAAATTGAAGTATTGCACATCTGCAAGGCATTGGGTTGTGGAGGTCTGATTTGAGCAATAAAAAATGGTGTGCTGTACACCAATACCCTTTACCAAATATTCATTTGTTCTTTCATATGTGATAAGCAACATGGCATCAGGATTAGATAATATTGTTAAATGGACCAACCGTTTGATTCACTATAAGGCTACTTACTGTGTTCAAAAGGAATGTCACTGACAATTCCTTGATTGCATTCATGCCATGTACCTTATTTCTCTTCCAGATTGCCTTTACCTGCCGTACGGAAGCCATCTTTCTCCTATGCCCATCAGTTTCAATTACACTGTTAGAGCCACAGAATTTTCTCATTAGGGTAATGGTAGTATAAACTAGGACCTCCGTATTGTCTATACTGGCAGGAGTAAGAAGCAGCAAATTCTAACTAGAAGACTAAGCCTTTGTTTTATGAAGCCAGTGGCTTCCAGCTGCTTCGCAGCTATTTGGGGGAAGATTGGCTCTCCGTTTTCTTTAAGGGCTGGTTTTGAACCACAAATTCCATCCAAACTGAAATGTTTGCTGTTTTTCCCATCCACTTTTCCTCTTGCTTGGATTTTTTTTTTTTTAGACATAATGCTGAGATCAGTGTCTGTCATTTTTAAATTGGAACTGGAGGAATTTATTGTGGAATTCTTCCAGAGCACAGAAGCTGTAGAATTCATGGAATTGTGCTTCATATGGTCATTTGGAGTACATTCTTACTCTCAGTAATCTAAATAATGAAAATAGGCCACCAAAGGCCTTTTCTTTGTATTCTGAGATGTTCATCTCAGTTTCATTTTAAATCATGATTGCATCATGATTTTGATTAAGCATAAATTGTTTTGAAGGGCTATTAAAATTTAGGCATTAGTTGGTTCTTGCAGTAGGGTTACCAGATCAGCACTGCATAAATCTGAACCACCACAGGATGGCAGCAAAGAATATTGTATATTTTTGTTGCCATCTAGTGTTTGGAGTTTTGCAGCCTTGATCTAACTGCCCATCCCAGAAGACTTGTAAGCACATTCTGATAGAATTTAAGCATTCATGATCATTATGGAGTTCACTTCCATTCATACCACTTCCACTTGAATTAAAGAGAAGTTATCAGCTTTCTCAGTCAGATCCACATTTAACCACGTTGGAAAGCATGCAGAATTATCCCTAGATTTATTTGTGGCAAGTTACCAGTCCAGGATTTAATTCTGTGCCTTGTTTCATCTCCATAAAATGGCAACTGCTGTTGCAGGCAACAGCTAGTAAGTACTGTATAGCAAATAACAAGCTTGCTTACAATTAGCAAGTGTGTTTGCACCAAAGAGCTCCCTTTTTAATCCAGACAGCCATTTCTGAAGTACATTGAAGCTGAATATGCATGCTGTTTTGAGCACATCTCTGGCACAGCTGAATTCAATTGTACAGCCAGTTGTGTATGCTGAGTGATCCAAGCTGTGTGTGTCCTAAACTGTCACTCAATGCCTTTAAAAGGAAATATGAAACTAAGCTGGCCTGGCTCAAGCCAGAAGTTTCTGGGTTACCCCAGCTGTACTCTTCCGTGCAGCTGTTTCCATCTAGCTACTGTTATATATTCACTGATATTCACAGAGTAGATGGTTTTTCCATTATCAGTTTTGTACAGAATATTTGTTCCCTTCCTCCCTCTACATTCCCCAGAAATCTTGCTAGAAATCCCTGCCCTCCCACTATCTAGTAAACAGCAGAGGCAGTTGGAGTTTAGATTTTTGCATTCCTCTGTTAGGGAGTGAGCGAACGATCAAACTGCCTGCGCTCACATGCTAAAGCTGTTGCCTCCTCTCCAAGTATTTTAATCATTTCAGAAAAAAAGGGTGGGTCCACCAGGCATTTGGCAAGAGTGCCCTTTCCTTCAATTGAGGTGGAGTCAACCAATGGCCTCAGAGCCTGGAAAATTTTGCAGGACAGTTTCCCCTGACAGCTTTGCAAGAGTTGTACCATTTCAATTGAAGCATACATCCACACGCTGAGCTCTTGGCTTCTGGCTGGCCTCCCAGAAAAAGATCTGTTTCAGCTTCCCCTTCTCTCTCTTGTCACTACAGTGTCAAGCTTCTCCAGACTTTCCTGGTCAGAACTCTTAAGTGACCATGGCAGACACCACCCTCCATATCGTCGAGCAACCAACTGCATCTGAGGCTTCAGAGGAGCCAGCTACTGAGGAACCCATCAAATCTGACCAGATCAATGGTGTTATGGTGCTCACCCTTTTGGACAAGATTATCGGGGCTGTGGATCAGATTCAGCTGACCCAGACTCAGTTGGAAGAGAGACAGCAAGAAATGGATGGTGTTGTGGCCAGCATCCAAGGGGAACTGGCTAAGCTCACCAAAGCTCACACTACCACCAGCAATACAGTGAACAAGATGTTGGAGAAAGTCCGTAAGGTCAGCGTCAATGTGAAAACTGTCCGACAGAATCTGGAAAAGCAAGCTGGACAAATCAAAAAGTTAGAATCCAATGAGACTGAATTGCTGAAGCGTAGGAACTTTAAAGTCATGATCTACCAGGTAAGATGCCATTTATCTTGTCTGTTTATGTCTTTACAGTTGGCCTTTAAAGGTACCAAAGCAGCTTGTTGCCTCTTTCTTTTCTATATGGGGCTTTCCAAGGCTCCCATATTACCAAACACAATATATAGGACCTTCAAAATTTGTGCCATCTCTGAAATCTTGGAGACAGAAAGGACTGAATGCCCAAGATTTTGCTAAGATTCCAAAATTGGCCTGCACACCAGTTCAAACCTTGGAGGAATTTACTGGAAACCAGATAGGGAGACATTTAGTTGTTCCATAAGACAGAAGGGAACCAACCTGTCTCATTAAAAGTTACAAAACTGGAAATCTTTTGTTAAGCTTCTCAAACATGCATATTAACATTATTTGGGAAAGAAATCTGTATGCTTTCATTGTCACGTTGTGGAGAAGTTGTGTTGCAGAGAATACAGAATAAGTTGTACTTTTTGAGGATGGTGACAAGCTCCTCAAGATTATGTTTGCTGCTATATTATCATTTTGTCCCTGTCTTTAGGTCCTAGAATTCTTTACCACTTTGGCGAGAAGCAGCTTTGTTCTACTTTGTAGTTGCTCTCTCTCCTCCTCTTTCTCTCTCAGGTTTCCTGGCCAGCCTTTAGAACTGTTAATATCAAACAAACAAAAATATGTAGTTCCAAGCCAGTCTTCCTTTTCTGTGGTGGTCTGAGCTTTTGTCGCCCGTGTAAAGAAAAACAGGGCATCATGAGATAAGTCATACTATTGGCACAAACTTAAAAAAAAAATTCAGCTAAGCTTCTTTTCTACCTGAGGCTGAAAATTTGCAAAATATAGTTGCATTTTTACTACCACAACGTGCAAGGAGATCAAGTTAAGTCTGTTTGAGGAATCCAGCAAGCAGTTGACCGATATAACCCACTGATTCATGTCTTGAGCATTCTCAATTATACCATGCCTCAAAGGCGGGAATACTCCAGTATATTTATATGAACATCATCCAACATAGTTATTCTTAATTAAATATTCTTAATTGGAAGTCACCGAAATCGAATTTCAGGGCTCACTGGTTGAAAAATAGAGGAAGTAAAAGCAAGAAGGAATAAAAAGAAGATTTAAAAGTCAGTCTGTATCATTATTGTCTTTTCAAGTATTAATGTTTGCCTCCCCTAAGATTATGACAAAATGATCTTGGATTGTTATAGAAGGTGAAACAACAGCCTGATTTTGAATAGATGTCATACCACGGAACTTATGTTTCCAAGTTTTGTAGAATGGATTTGTTTGTTTGCTTGGAATATTGAACTTTGAAATAGGCATAGCACACTCATTATGTTAATGAATTTGATAGTGGGTCTGCTAGAAGTTAGGCTACAAGTTCTTAAATCCAATCATAGTACACCCTTAAGAGACTAGCATTAAAGCAATTAATGTTCAGCCTTGCACCCGAAATATGAGACTTATAGAAATGATAACCTGCAATATGGAGACATTCTTAGGTGGGCTATTTAAAAAGTTCTATATATGAAATGCTTATAAAATTTAATCTAACATCTAATCAAGATTTAAGAGTGTAGTATTTTGTGTACTTATTTGTGCATAGGCTCCATTTGATTCAGTGGCACTTACTTCTGAGTAAATTGGCCTGCAAGTGGTATCATAATTATATTTTCTTAGTGTGTACTAAATGGCAGAAACAGTGTGGAATGCCTCAGATCATGCAAGTATTGGATTCCTCTTCTCCTTGGTATTCAATACAACCTCATCCAAAGTATTCAAGGAGAAAATCCAATAAGGAGACATGAGCAACCACATCTGAATCATATCTCCCCACCCTCCCACCATTAGTTTCAACCTGTGAGAGATTATCATTGAGGAACAGTTCCTCATAGTAAATACTATGGAGAACCATGTGCAAATCTTAGAGTCTTGAGTTCAAATTATTCCACTGCTTTTAGGCTTAGCCAAATCAACATCTTTCATCCATAATTATCTTCTGTGTAAAATGGCCATTATTGTTCCCAATCCTGCAAGCTTTATTTGTAAGATGGTTATAAGAATGAATGAGAATAGAACAATGACTTCTGTATGCTACAAAAGACAGTAGAACCAATGGCTAAATTATAATTATTTCTGAGTGAATAGAGAGCAGGCAGGCTATAGATAACTACGGAATTAACTTTGCCACTTACATTCACCGTAGCACAAGAATCACAGTCAATATGGGTGTTGGGAAAAGCTGCTGATTGATATTTTCTAGAACTTTGCTTTTTTGCAACACAACTTTTCTCTCCATACAAAGGAAGAAAGATAGATTTGCTTTCAACAGGGGATTTTTTAAAATATCAACCTCAGTCTGTGCTGTTGCTTTGGATGCTTCTCGCCCTGCCTGGCGCAGTGTGTTTTGTTTCAGAATAACTCTGGCAGTGATTGCTATTTGGGCTGAGGATTAGGCCATGCTGCTAACATACTAATGTTCTCTGAACTGTAGCCACAGAGCTAGTACCACTCTGAAAATGTTCTGGGCCAAAAGAGTTTGTAGGCTGTAACACGATTTGAACATTTAAGGGGGCATTAGTAATATGTGTGTTGGTGGGACAGAGGTGGATTGGTGCAAAACAGGGTTGATGCCTTGATCCTGGAAGAAATATTACTATAGGCCACATCAGAGGCTGCAATTTTTTTAGAAGTTATTAAAGCAGTTGTTTCCTTGGGTGTAACCCTGTGAATATCCTAGAGTGTACTTCTGTTATTGCTCCAAACAAATAACACAGGAGCTCAAGGGGCTTACGTGGGGCCTGGTATTTGCAAAATAGATCACTTTTGGAGGGCAAGTTCTATTTCACCTTCACTGAAGACTGAAATGTAGGAATGCTAGGTTCTTCTTTTTTTTTTTCACTTATTCTCTTCTCTTGACATGATTGCAGTCATATGTAGTTTGTTTATTTAGGGCAGAAACCATCAAAACTTGCTTATACAGGTAGTCCTAGTTTAGTGACCACAATTGGGACTGGCAACTCGGTCGTTAAGTGAAGCAGTCGCTAAGTGAAACCACAGGTGTGCTTAAAATCTTACTTCATCTTCCCTTTCCTTTATGGACCTGCGAAGGTCATAAATGTGAGGATTGGTCACAAAGTTACTTTTTCATCACCATCGTAACTGTGAATCATCGCTGTACGAGGCAGTCAGTAAACAAGGACTATCTATGCAACATTTTCTGAAGCCAACCATAACAATGGATCTGGACATCTATAAAGCAGTACTTAAGAGTATGGTGGCTTGATGCAAAAGTGGTCAGGACAACTACACTTTTTAATAGAAGAAGGAGTTTGAGTAATTATATTTTTCATATAATTTCAGTTCCCCCCCTCAGATTCCCTCTTCTTTATACATGTTATATAATAACCAACTGGGTTTGCCACTCAGTAATGTTTTGACGGGAGCTTTGTTCATTATGGCTCACTGAAGAGCCATGATACAAGCATTTGCTTTGCAAATAACAATTTGCCTGCGTTTCATAATCTTTGTTTTCAGGTATACATTGAAATATCTGAGAATGTGCATTTAACATTTAATGTGTGCATCATTTCTTTGTGAAAATAGAATAAGGGTGTGGCAGTTATTCTGGAAGTGATGTTATGACTGTATTCATCCAACATGTTCAACCAAGTCAGTATTAATCTAACGTCTGCATTTGCACAACATGCTAAGTTTAACTTTGCTTACAGTTTTTGTGGCTTAATATAGGGCTACCAGACTTGAGCTGCAAAAATCTGGACAGCCTATTGATGGCAGCAGAGAAAATGTTCTGCTCTCTTTATTGTCATTTAGTCGTTATATTAATTTTATGCGGCCCAGATTTCATAGCCCCAACTTAGCATTTTGTGCAAGTTTAGGCTATTGAATTAATACTAAGTTAATCATGTTGTGTGATTACAATTTATGAATACCTCTGTTATTTCAGCCTGGGAATGATGCTTGTTTTCTTTTTCTTTTTCTTTTTTTTTGGTGGCAGGGGGTAGTCCTGTAATACTCCAAATTTTCCAAATACTTGTGGCACTTTTCAAGATGAGTTAGTAAATTTTTGTTTGCATAGTTCTGTATAGGATTTCTTGTTTCTCCTTAACTTTCATTCGTCCTTGATTTGCAGGGGCAAATCTCAGCATTTTTCAAAGCAGTGTTGGGACTCATTGTGTTCATCATGTTTTAACCAGATGTTAGTTTTGCACATGTATTTAGAAATATCTCCCTGACATTGTTTTGAAAAATAGGCAAAAAATTCTCTAAATTAAAGATGAAATATAGACAGTAATGGGAATTATTTGTTTCTGCAAAGGATTTCCAGAGGGGTCCATTCTTTTTATTGCCAGAGTTGCCATTCATCTCCATTGCCACTAGTTCTGCTGTGTATTATTACCAAAAGCATTTAGCAGATCTTTCTCTTTTCCAGCACAACAAAAATGCACCTTCCATATTCCCTGTTTTATGCTGTGCAGTGAATCCACATATTGCCGCTATTTTACTGTACTCTGAAATCTCAGTTCTTTATATGTACCAATATTTTTACCCATTTAGTCATCCTACAAGAGAAGCCAGCACTAATTTTCTTATACATATAAGAAGCAGAAGTATATGATAATCCGTAGGAACCTAAGAGCTGTGTTGGATCAAGCTACATCAGTGCCTAAAGGAAGCCCCTAGGCAGGAAAGCAGTGCAGGACTATTACCGCCACCCCACCCCACCCCGACTTGGATTCTCCAAGTACTGATACTCAAAGCCAATGTAGCTAGCCTTAGCCATTTTGATTAAGCTCAAACCACATGAGGTCCTTTTGGTATGCAAGTACACAGTCATAAAGATTAGCATGAATTTACTGTAGCACAGCAGCCTCTTTGTAAGAACAGTTGAATCTCCTTGGATGCTGCAGGCAGATTTTGACAAATAAGTTTCTGCCCTTCAGGATAAAAAAAAAATATCCCAATTAAAGCTACACAAGGCCCTATAAGGCCATGGCCATGTC